GTGGTGGTGTTTTCGACATGAGATAAAAGTGTGTCGCAAGTTTAAGTGACCATCGCGTAATATACTTGGGTTTTCTCACCTCATAAGTTGTGGAAACAGCTTCAGTTTGGTTTTTCCAGACTGGAATACTGTGGATCAAGGAACACGCTTTGAGGATGTTGAAGATATAAGTAGAACGTGACGTCGACATTGGCAAGCGCCTTCCGAAAGAGGACTTTAAAAGTTGTTTCCACATCCGAGCACAGAAGTGAATTACGAGATGGGGATTACGTTGACCATATTAAAAGGTTACGTTTTCACATCTGTTCTGGTGTTATTGGAGCGGTTCTGGAATTAATAGCCCACACCTTGTATCTTTGAGACTAAGCACCCCCTTGTTTGCCTCTAGAGTGAGTCTTTTGGTTCTTGATGGGCTTCTGGTGATAATTTTTGGTTACACGCCCGCTGTTTGAGAATTGCTCTTCGCCGTCTTCAGATTTGGCGCTCGCAGGTAATAACACGAGAGTAAGATATAATAAATAATAATATAAATAATAATAATAATAATAATATAATCATAATCATAATCATCATATAATCATCATCATCATCATCATCATCATCATCATCATAATCATCATAATCATCATATCATCATAATATATAATCATCATAATATCATCATCATCATCATCATCATCATCATCATCATCATCACATCATCATCATCATCATCATAAATCATCAAAATCATCAAATCTCATAATCATGATAATCATCATAATCATCATAATTATCATAATCATCATAATCATCATAATCATCATCATATCAATAATCATCATATAGCATACTATCATAATCCATCATAATCATATAATGCATCATAATATCATAATCTATAATCATCATAATCATCATAATATCATAATTCATCATAATCATACATAATAATCATAATCATCATAATATATAATCATCATTAATCATCATAATATCATAATCAATCATAATCATCATAATCATCATAATCATCAATATCATCATAATCATCTAATCAATCAATAGTATCATATAATCATCATACATCATCATATCATCATAATCATCATAATCATCATATCATCCATAATATCTACTCATCATAATCATCATAATCATCATAATCATCAATACAATCATCATTCATCATAATCATAATCATAATCATAATCATAATCATAATAATAATCCATAATCATATCATAATCATAAATCATATCATAATCATAATGCATAATCATATCATTACTCTAATCAAAATCATAATATAATATAATCATAATCATAATCATAATATAATCATAATCATAATCATAATCTATCATAATATAATATAATCATAATAATAAATGCATAATCATAATCATAAATCAATAATCATAATCATAATCATAATCATAATAAATATAATCATAATCATAATCATAATCATAATAATATTCATAATCATTCATAATCATAATCATAATCATAATCATAATCATAATCATATCATAATCATATCATAATCATGAATTCATAATCATAATCATAACATAACATAATCATAAATCATAATCATAATCATATATCATATCATAATCATAATCATAACATAATCAAATATAATCATAATCATAATACACTCAATATAATCATATCATATAATATATAATCATAAATCATAACATAATCATAATAATATCTAATCATATCATATCATAATCATATAATAATCATATCATATATATCATAATCATTATCAAATAATCCATAATCAGTCAATCTATAATCATCTATCATATAATCATCATATCATAGATCATCAATACATGCATCATAATCATCTAATCATCATATGATCAATAATCATCATAAACATCATCTCATCGCATAATTCATTTACAATAACATATAATGCATAATAATAACATCATACATCATAATACTAATCTCATTCATCAATAACATACTCATCATCTGTCATCATCCATCATCTTCATCATTCACTCTCATCATTGTTTATCAAGTCTTCCCATCTTGATGATACTATCGATCAAAGGAAAGTTTGCTGGCGTCGCGTGGTCTTACCACACGTTGTCGCTTTGGGCAACGCTAAATGCAGCAACACTCATGGCCACCTATGCGCTTGACCATTGGTTGGGCGTGCGGTTCCCTACACATTAGAGGGGAAGTGGCAGCGTCTATATCTGGTCGGCGCGTCACCAAATGGCTAACATGCCAACGGTGGGCGTTGACTAACAACAACATGCATTGTCGGGCAGGCATTGCTCACTGAGACGTCGCGTTTCGCGAACATTCTGCTTTCGGCGCAAAGCCGGAATAAATTCGTTGACGTTAAGTTATTCCATTCGATAATGACGGTTCCAAATAAGGCACCGGTCAGATAGGGATGGCATCCGCTATAGAAGTAAAAAGTTGTTGTAGCTTTCAAGTTTTGCCGATTTTAATGATCACGTAAGCCTTGATGAAGTTTCGAAGAAATGAGTCTAGTAGTAAGAGTATATAGAAAACGTCACGGCGCGTGGCTATTGGCAATAGCTCACGTGGATGTCGAGACATTCCTAGTACAAAAGTAGTAAATCGGTTGGGACAAACGAAATTGAACTTAGAAAAAATTGAACTTACCTGCATCAGAGGGCTTTCACCAAAGTGTTTGTAAAAATTAAGCTTTCCCATCGAACCGAACGATGTAAAAAAATACAGGTGGATGGTCTTCCGATAGAATGTTATTGGTTTGTCTACACCTATATGCACTGGATGTGTCGGGATGCCAATGAAATTTTAAAAAGATTTATGTCGTACAATTGAATTTCGAGGATCACTGAGCATGTTCAGCTTGAAATGACGAGTCTCGTTGGTTACATGATTGATAGTATTACTGTCAAGACATGGGAAGATTGTGAGTCAAATTCGTCCGGCGCAAAACAGCTGTGTTTTTTTCTTCATCTCTTATGTCCTTAATGTGAACTGAAATGAGAAAGTACGATATTTCATCTTAAATGAATTTTGATAACTGCTTAACTATTTTCAGTTAAATGGGAAAATCTTGACGCCCCTTGTGTTTGGTTACATTCTGTATATCCAATAATGTACGACATCATGCTCTTCTCGCCTGGAAGCTCGACAGGTCGGATAGGAAGTATGTTTCCCGCAAGCTTCCACAAGTTTGTCTAGAAGAGCTGGGTGTTTCTAAAAATACCCGATCACTGAAACAGCCAATAAGATTGTTTAATCATCATCATCATCATCATCATCATCATCATCATAATCATCATAATCATCATAATCATCATAATCATCATCATCATCATCATCATCATAATCATCATAATCATCATAATCATCATCATCATCATAATCATCATCATCATCATCATAATCATCATCATCATCATCATCATCATCATCATCATCATAATCATCATCATCATCATAATCATCATCATCATCTTCATCATCAACAGCGGAGACAAAGTTGCTGGCGTCCGTGGTCTACCACACGTGTCGCCTGGGCAACGCTAAATGAGCAACAGTCATTGGCGACCTATGCGCTTGACCATTGTGGGCGTGCGGTTCCCTACACATTGAGGGGAAGTGCACGTCTATACTGGTCGGCGCGTCACCAAATGGCTAACATGCCAACGGTGGGCGTTGGCTAACAACAACATGCATGTCGGGCAGGATGCTCACTGAGACAGGTGCGTTTCGGACATTCTGGCTTTCGTCGGCAAGCCGGAATAAATTCGGTTTGACGTAGTTACTTCATTCGATAATGACGGTTCCAAATAAGGCACCGGTTCCAGATAGGATGGCATCCGCTAGAGTAAAAAGTTTGTAGCTTTCAAGTTGCGATTTTAATGAGTCACTAAGCTTGATGAAGTTTCGAAGAAATGAGTCTGTAGTAAGAGTATAATTAGAAACGTCACGGCGCGTGGGCTATGGCAATAGCTCACGTGAGATGTCGAGACATTTCAGTACAAAAGTGTAAATCGCGTTGGAAAACGAAATTGAACTTAGAAAAATTGAACTTACCTGTCAATTCAGAGGCTTTCACAAAGTGTTTGTAAAAATTAAGTTTCCCATCGAAACCGAAGATGTAAAAAAATACAGGTGATGGTCCTTCCGATAGAATGTTGATGGTTTTGTCTACACCTATAAGTACTGCGATGTCGGATGCCAACTGAAATTTAAAAAGATTATATTCGTACAATTGAATTTCGAGGATCACTGGACATGTTCAGTTGAATGAGCGAGTCTCACGTTGGCTAATGATTGATAGTAGTTACTGTCAAGGACATGGGAAGATTGTGATCCAAATTCGTCCGGCAAAACAGCTGTGTTTTTTTCTTCATCTCTATGCTCCTTCAATGTGAACTGAAATGAGAAGTTAGATATTCATTTAAATGAATTTTGATAACTGCCTTACTATTTTCAGTTAAATGGGAAAATCTTACGCCCCCTTGTGATTGGTTTACATTCTTATATCCAATAATGTACGACATCAATGCTCTTTCCCTGGAAGAACTCGACAGGTCGGATGGAAGTAATGTTCCCGCAAGCTCCACAAGTTTGTCTAGAGTAGCTGGGGTTTCTAAAATACCCATCACTGAAACACAATAAGATTGTTTAATAAGTATAGTTCATAATAATGTTAATTTGTGATCGTAATTTACTTCTTTTCTTCATTGGTGTCAATACATAGTCCTGCCCTTTTTCAAAGTATATCACTAAACATTCATACCAAACAACAACACAGTGTCGCGCAATATATACCCAACTTTTAAAACTTTTTCTGTGAAGAGTATAAGCAAAAATATGAAACATGTGTTTTTTTTGTTGTTTTTTTTCAAATATTATTTTTCGAGATTATATTCATTTTCAAAATGTTCAATAAAATGCTCGCATTGCTAAAGTTAATCATTTTGAACTTGTGTAGTAATTGTGACAGAAATTTAATATTGTGCCAAATGAAAGAAAAAATGCTCCCTCATTTGATGTATATATTGAATTCATTGAAATTAAAAAATATATTTTTTGTCCTATTTTATTTTTATTTCTACCAAAACTCGACAGTTTAAATTTCGGAACAAAAATTTCAACTTCTAAAAAGTTATACATAAGTTTGGTAAGTTAAAAAGTGGGACATCGAGATGATTCTGAGAAATTGAAAGCAATAGAAGTGTCTGCTTGCTGTTTTGCTGCAGCGTCTGCTAGAGCGTCACCCCTCAAAAGCACGTGCCAAACAGCAGTAGACGATTACCATCAATATACTTTCACAGAGCAATAAATAGAAGTATCACTTCACATCTTACTATGTGCCACATACATACAGGTGACCTTTAAATTCAAATTAAAATCTGTCAAACGGATTCAGTTTAGTATTAAACGGACGAAATATTTATACGAATAAGATGTGATACAGTTAATGACGTTGATATTTCTTTTACTTCACTTTACAGAGAATATTGTTAATTCCCCTTTCCACAATGAAATCAAACTATATTTCCTTTTGTTATTACATCACTGTTGCAATAATCCTCTTTCTAAGTATTATTCAGCATTGGTAAAAATTTGAAGGTAATGTTCTTCATATTATCATCAGCCCGCTTAAATAACTACGGGGGTAAATTAATAGTCCCTGTTCGGTAGGAAGGCTAGTTTTTATTGAGAATATTATAGTTGCCCCTCTCCCCCTCCCTACTAGTACCCCCCTATGGTCCCTTTCCGTAATGCGAAGGGAAGGATGCGATGTGAAGCGTACTAATTCAGTACTCACATTGAAGGCATCTTGGCGGAAGCATAAACTCGCATTGTTTGATAATACTAGGCACTGACCTCATACGAAAATTATGGCTATAAACACTGTCATAATCTTACTTGAGAAGTGTTATGCGTTTACACTGAAAATCGTGAATGAATGAATTTGCATCCATAATTTTTTTCAGGCATCCATGATTTTTTTAAAAAATTTTTGCTATCTCTGAAGTGAATGCAGAGTAGCTAAGACATTTATTCACAGCAGTCTCTGAATAACATCTTCAAGTACGAAATAAATTTTTTCTTAAAAAACTTTCTCTGGACAGTGCCAATGAAAACTCATAGCGTCAAATTTTATTTTGTCTTATGAAGAGGCCAGAAGATGGCAAACGATTGGCGAAGTCAGCAGAAGAAACAAAAGAACTTAGACAGATTCTTTATTACCATACTTTGTACCAATTTTTCCAATACACATAGCTTTTTTGACGGACACCAGTCAATTTTCAACTTCTCAAGAATGCTGGTTGTAACTACCTAAACGTACACTTCTTCTGCAATTAAAGATTTTCATATTAAGAAAGTGCAAAATACAAAAGTATTAATTTTGTAAGACTATTTGTGGTTACTGACTTCAGAGAATAAGTCACATGTTTCTGTTTTAGGCAGACCCTACCAGTGTCAATTGTTAATAAATAAACTTAATACTCGTATTTCGTCAGAAGACTTCCATTTGTGCCGTATGTGTGTGTTTGTGATTCGTATCATGACATAAGTCTCACGGTTGCTTTATGTTGGACGTCACGGTGCGTCGGATTATTGACGCTCCCAAGTTCGAGCAACGAATTTTTACTAAGGATATCAATTCACTCATTATGGAGTAAAAAGGGAATGCAACATCACTCACTGTCCAGGATAATGATGCCTTCATTTGAAGTGGCACCTACCATAACTGGAACGGAATTATATTGCCTTTTCTCCATCATCTCTTTGGGATGAGCAGGTAAAAATATTTCATCTCCTGGTCCAGGAGCGTACTCCTCGGGTGTCGGTATGAATCTTGGGAAAATTTCTCCAACCTTGTAAGAAAATCATAAATAATTTACATTGATAAAACATGACACCAACACTACAATGACCAGATCTTGTTAGTGTGATTGCAAACTGAGGGTTAACTGCGTATATTATTGTTCTAATGTTATAATAGAGCATCAGTTGTAATTGAAAATTGTTTTAAATAAGAGGTATCAATTATGGAAGTGGAATTATTCAAGTCAACTCGCGTAAGGATATTTTTTCCAATTATATTTTATACTCTATTAATTCTCCAGGATTGATATGTTTAATTAGCAAGAAACTGCAGATACTCCAGGTAATATGTTTGAACATGAGTGTTATATGAACGATTGGCTAAAATTACTAACTTTTACTAGATCTGAATAAGTTAGTCTTCTATTGGCTTGCTCCCCACAATTACATACATTACTACAACGTGTGTATATTTATTCAATTGGGTTCGATTTACACGCACGAAGATGCTTTTATATAAGTAACAATAATACTCGTAATAATAATAATAATAATAATAATAATAATAATAATAATAATAATAATAATAGTCGTAATTGAATAATTAAAAATGACCAAAATAAAATTAAAGCCAAAATATTGATTCACGACAGTCAAGTATAAAGTATAAAGATAAGACGAAATCTATAACTCTAACGTGTTCACCTGTTTATCTCATGGTGAGGAATATTATTGTAGAATCGCTAAAAAAATATGTACTGTTGATGATATATTGATAAGAATAGCAATAACGAGGACCAAATACTTAAAGCATATAAAATGTGTGTAAAGTATTTGATCCTTTAATCACTTGCAAACTACGGTATCGTTTTCATATTCCATTATCACATTGTCGTACACCATAAGTATCCCTAAACACTCATCAAATGAGTGTCAGCCTGGAGCAGACATTTTGAGCAAGTTCTGGAACAAAACAGTTACCATTTTCTGTAACTCGTGTTCTTTTTCCACCAAATCTCGCGCAGGAACAGATCTTAGAAAGGAAAGCAACTCTTGAGCATTGCTGGCGTCACTCCCAAGTTCCCTCGCTAGCTTGAATGTGAGCTCTTGGGACTGAACGGATGAAGCCCAGGGATTCAGTGCGCATCCACTTTGCAATATTGCTTTGTGGAAGAGCCCTGCAACACGTTTTTCATTATTTGGTAATTGTGCAAGCACAGCAGCAATTTGGTAACAAATATATTGAAATTATCTACAACTCGTTAAATGTATTACTGTCTTAACAAAAGTAAAGGTTTAAAAAAATATTTTTAGAAAACATTAAGGCGTTGGGAAGTCCGTTTAACCTTACACCGCTTTTTAACTTCTTCATGGTGATGCTCTTCTGCAGCTGGATGGTGAAATCCTGCGCCGACCTACACGTCCTGTTGCGATGCATTTCTTCTCTCCGTAGTCGGACACCGATCCAGCCGGAACAAGCTCTAAGGTTTTGATTGGTCTCCCGACATGTACAGTAGTGTAATGCGTGTGTTTGTGTGTGTAAGGGGTGAGGGCAAAAAGAAAAAAAGGAAGGAAAAATCGTGCGCGGTCCGTGTGTCCTTTTTTGTACTTCCAATTTGATAAAATGGCGCTGATTAATTTTTGTTTGTTTGCACGCATTACACTTCTTCAAAATAAACAACTAGAATCGAGTTCTTGGATCCAACGTAAAATTCAGCACTGGGAGTTATATAACAACACACTTTACAACTTAGAGTAGTTCAAAGGTATTCCATAATACTGTACCTTGCGACATGGGCGAAAGCAAATGATAATGAACAGATGCTCCTCCTGCACTCTCTCCAAATATTGTCACATTGTTCGGGTCCCCCCCGAACACGAGGATATTTTCTTTTACCCATCGCAATGCAGCTACTTGGTCTTTCAGTCCGACATTGCCCGGAACCGATGCATCATCAACTTTTAAAAAGCCTATTAAAATATAATTGCAATATCATTTCAAAATGCTCATCAGAAAAATATGTATTCGTCATATGAAGTACACTTACCAAATATGCCGAGTCTGTAGTTGATTGTGACGACCACAACGTTTCCGCCAACGAGATACTCAGGACCGTACATATCTGCGTCGCCATTACCAACTTCGAAACCGCCTCCGTGGATCCACACCATGACAGGATAGTGGGGAGTTTTAATTGATGGCAGCTGTGAAGTAGGGCCATTACTTGTAAGTAGTGAAAAAACATCGCGAACGAAATGTGAAGAATCTACCCAGCAAAATCTACGTTCCCATTGCTTACTTGAGGAGAGTACACGTTGACGTAGAGACAATCTTCGTCTCCGAAGTATGGAAGTTTCTTTATCCACTCTATCTGAGGGCATGAGGGCCCTTCTTTTAGAGCATCGCGAACGCCGCCCCATGGCTCCACCGGTTGTGCTACCTTAAAAGAAATAATGGGTAGCGACGGGTGATGATTATGCTTCTTGTGGGGTGCCCAATTGGGGGGATGGTCTGCCATCCGTGATCTCATGTACAGTGGGAGTATGTCTACACTACAAGAATAGGGATGAGTCACAGAAGGGCTGTTTCGAAAATATATTATTTATGTTCTTTAATAATCCGAAGCGAAATAATACTTAACTGAGAACAGTTTCTTAATAACTAATATTAAAACACAAGTGGTCTAATCATAGTCCGATCTGGATGACCGAAGTGACTAGAGCGTGTGCAGAGTCGGTCAGAACTGTTGCGGGTTCGAGTCCGGCTGTGGCATGATTGTTTGTCCCTTGTATTTCATGTATGTGTGTTGTGGTGGAAGGACTTGTGAGTTTGCTGACCACAAACCGAGGAACCAGCTAATGTGTTAAGTGTAACGGTTAATATATGTCCCCTTATGAAATATTGTGATTACCCGGCGCGGTTAGCCAACATCGGCATCTCCCGAAAGCTGGAAAAATCTCCCTGAAGTAAAAAAGAAGTGCCTTAATCGTAGGCATGTGCAGTCTAAATCGAGATGAGTACAACTTAATTTTGGGTTCTCTTTTCCATTATTTTTTATTTACATATGACATATTTTACTGGTAAATAAATAAAGCATTTGACAAGGAGATTGAAATTATCAGTGTAACGATAAAAAATAATAAATATAATTCATTTTATGTAGAACCATTCACAGAGTTCTTAGATTGGAAGATATGGTTGCGTAGGTTTGTAGAGCCTCATCCCCAAATGTCGTGTTCTTGAAATTATCAGTTTAAACTATAGGTGATACAAAAGCGCATAATTTCTCGCGTTATTCGAAATAGTTGCGTAATATTGAAATATTGTAATTTCTGCCATACTAAATTCAGTTAAAAATTGAAAAAGTCCAATTCATATAATTCAAACGCTAGGCCTGTGTTGCATATCTGCGTTAATTTTCTTAGCCTAGAACAATAGTATTTTCTAACTTTTACAAATGAAACAAACAACTAAAATTAACTGTTACAGTATTTGAGACTATTCTACAGAAAAAAATTAATATTTGACACAAGCCGAGATAGCTAAAGCCATGGAATCAGGCCTCCTCGTGTACAACATGAAAATAGTTATCAACATGCCAATACGTTTAAGAGAAGTAATACGACGAAAAAGTTACCTAATTACTACGGAGAAAAAATTATTTAATTTTGTTTTGTTTTATTAGGTGTCTGAATATTAAATTGGCCTACGATTTTTGCATTATTGAAATTTTTATTTATTGTATTAGTGTATATAATATTTTCCGGAAGTATGCCTACTGCCTTGCGGAAAGTTGACAATTTTTCTGCTAACATTGTAGACTGCTATTAAGTTGTGTCACTGTTTAACGATTGCTATTTCATAGTAAACATTATTTTTGAAATGAACCGTAAGACATCTTGTTGCAATAGGAGATCGAAGAAACGAGTGCGGTAAACTGAGATTGATAATTAGTAGTATGGCAGTAAGTTGTTTTGAAATAAGATGTTATGATATGAATGCTGAATGACGTTTCGTCCACTTGTAAAACTTCCAATATACTATTATTATAGTAGTTAATATACTATTATTATAGTACTGTTATTATAGTATCACTAGTATCTCTACAACGTATTACCTCCTGCCGTAAATAAAACGTGATTATGAATCTTTTTTCTTGCGGGGAAACCCTGGAGCGCCGTCTACGCCTACTACGGAACCGCCTGCGGCCCTTCCAGCGGGCGAACGGTGTAGGCTAGGGATGGCAAGGTCGCGGGCGCGGTAACTATACTCCGATTTCAATACAGTGGCCCTTCGAGATCACGAGCGGAACGAAGGGGGACCCTGTGATCTAAACGGGAGCTTTATTACGGCTTACATTTTTGGTATTGGATCTCCTGGTAGAATGAAAATGTCCCCCCTCTCCTTCCAATTTGTGATCTCGAAGTACCATTATATTTAAATCGAAATATAATTGTTCGTGGGCACTGTGTCCAGAGCAACTGGCATTTGATCTAATGATAAGGAGTGGTGGTACATCACTGGACCATGACGGTCTTTTGGCACTTACATGTACTACACTACCGAACATTCCAAGAGACCAGTAGCGTAACGAAATGAGTGTGATCCGCCCTTAAAACGTTTGCCCGAGCCCTCTTTATGAAAGTGTAGAGCAAAAACTAGTAGTGTTAGAACCTCAAATAATAAAAATATCCCCTAAAAATAGGCCCCCTTTTTCCCGCATTGCTTAGAGCTTGGCCCGGCTGAGGCGGTGCGCAGCTAGTGGGAGATATGTTTGGGAAATCCCCGCAAGCCGACGGGAAGATCGGCATCGGATCTCCTCATCCAGCGGAGGAAGATCACAGCCGCCTCCCGCGATAGAAACGTCCCTACACCCATTGCGGACTAATTACCTCAGCGGTTTACGGGCCCTTAAATATCAGTCAGTCAATAAATGGTTTCCAACCCCACTCGTTGGCGCGTTTACTCGTAATAAAATTATGTATAATTAAAAAGGGGGATAAGTACTCTGGAGCTCAAGAAAACATGATCACATTATACTTCTCCCCCATAAGTCACATGCAGGTTTCATTGTTAGCTTCTAAATTAAATTTAAAAATTGGAATTGCTGCGAAAACCGCAACCATTGTATTCATTACGGTTCAAGACATCAATTGATTAAATTATATTTCTTAATGTCACTTGAAATTTATCCAAATCATTACAGATTTTAAAACTTATTTCCTGACTACACATTTTCGCATCCCGTGCAATTTTAATCTCCTTTTTTATGGTTTGTTTTAGCTATTATTTTCGAGTTCCTCTCCCAGTTTGAAGTTTAGGTTTGTACGTATTTTATGAGATTTTTTCACTCAACCTTAGATAACGTTAGGATAATCATGGCGACAGGATCTTACCTGAAAGCGTAGAGGACCGACAGGAGGCTTGGCGTACGGAATGCCCTGGAAGCTGAAGTAGCTGTTGCCGGCTTTCGCCGTGACCTTGCGGCCACGGAGGGCACCGTGAGATACACGCACGTTCACAAACTCCTCTGCCATCTTCGCCATCCGCCGATTGACTGACACTTCTTTCCTATCGCTTTGTGACGACACGCAGACTACAAAGTCCGGGTAACGCTGGAAAACGTGAGTGGTCACCAGACGGAGTGGGACTGGAAAGAAATCTTCCGCAAAAACAGCTCTATGACAAGTCGCTTCGTTTATTTCTCTTTTGACGGCGCCCAATGCAGCAAGTCAACTTTCTCTTTCGCACTTAACTAATGCACTGGCTGCCCGCCAGAACGCAGCAGATGGAGGAAGTGCGGCATCGGTTTCTCATCGTTGCCTTGGGAGACGTCGCCCCAAGCAAAAAGACAAAAATTCAGGCTACGGTGATCAAGGGAGTATATTGGGATGATTGAAATATCAACATTGTTCCCCCATAGGCCCGAGTATTCAAAAATTGATTTCCTCATTTTGGCCCCATTTTTCCTTAATTTTTCCATGTTTCGGCTCGAAAAGGCAAAGTACACTTAATAATAGGGCATGTGTTCTATTTTTATGAAAACATCTGAAGTTTCGAAAATTGCGATAATTCAAAATGTGGTCCTAAGACTACATTGTTAGAGGTGAAAATGTTTTTATTAATGCAATACATTCTTGAATCTGTACTAAAGCCTTATGTGCAAATTACATGTTTTTTCTTAATGCAATCATTTCCTCAATGATAGATATTTACATCATTTCGTAGTCACTATTTTCAAAGTGTTAGTATTTTTTCCAGTAAGTTTGAGTTTCATAGCTAAGGTGATTAGTCCTGTAAGTGTAGTGTGTGTTTTCTCTACGGGAAGTGGCGCTGATCTTCCTCACAGTATAGTGAGAATCGGCGCCGACCTGCGTCGGCTTATGGGGGATATCCCCAACCAGGAATCTCTTACCAGCAAGGCACCGCCCTAACCGGGACAAACTCTAAATTCACCACCGGTCTCCCGGCACGTGAGGTAGTGTGATGGTTGTAAATGTGTGTGTATGTGTGTGTTTGTGAGCGGTGAAGTTAGGACAAAGAAGAGGAAGGAACGATTGCGCACGTCCGTTGCTCGTTTGTTAGGGAACTGCTGCGGTATTCGCCTGGTATTGATCGGAGAAACCTCGGAAAACTACCAAGCACAGCAGCCGGCCGCTGGAATTCTTCTCTAGAAAGCGACTGAACTCGATAATAATAATAATAATAATAATAATAATAATAATGTCTTTATTAATGGCGTGGCTATCGATAATTTCGATCTAGCTAGAGTTGAAAATCCTGCCACACCGTCGAGACTCGAACCAAGGACTTCCCGGTCATGGGGACCGCAGTGACATCAGCTGATGCTCTGAGCTTCGTTTATATTAAAAACGATACATAATTTCAAACGTTTTCAATGCTTTCAATTTTTAGAGAAATTAATTTACTTAAATGTTTGGAAAATACTAAGTGTAAGACTATGTACCCTACTATGTGCCCTACATGTAGATACATTCCTTCGTAAGAATTCCTACTTAGAAATGGCACTGGAAATCAAATGAAACGAAATTTAGAAATCAACGCTACCATTTTGTCTAAGACTTCACTAATTACAAGCTTTGAATTACGAATTATTTAAAATAATGCAGTATATTGCTTTATCAATTACTATTCTTACCTGTCACGATATGTATTTTTCAACGCCTTCTCCCACACATTACTCAAATTGCATGAAACTTTTATTTCCGAATAAATGGACACGACTCTAATTAAATAACTAATTGTGAAGTACAAATTTCATTTGAGAAAGAAATATTTATCTTCAATGATGGGGGTACAAAAGATTGAAACTTTTGCAATTTCCGAAAATTCAGAGTTACCAGTTAAAATTGGACCTAGGCCATCTTGATATCTATTTTCCCTCTGTTCTAAGAAGACATTAAAAGGAAAAATTGGAGATGATTTTGGAGTAAAGTTTGGAAATGTCCCAACTGTTTCACTTGAAGTACCCCCAGAATTCAAAGAATTTCTTTCAAAATCTCACAGTTTTGAGTCGTGCCAGATTGATATTTATTTTGGAAACAATCACGTGGAGAGTTTTGTCGCTAGTGTTGTTCACAGACGGAAAGACGGACGTTAAAAAACATGTTTTCCGTGTTGAGGAATCACAAAGCGCAGATTCTGATTACAGAACGTATTAAGAAATTTACTAAATTCAGGATAAAAAGAGCGATATCAGGAACACACTATTTTTCTGTTGGAGAGTTCTTCTAGGGAAAAGCGGAGTTTTCGACGCAGTGCCCAATAGGTCTCCTCGTATTTTATATAATAATAAGCACAATGCAGATGATAGAAAAGTGAAGTTCAAGTGTTTTGAGTGGAGTGCAGTGTAACTTACATGTCCTGTATTTATTAATTTAAAATATGTGTGCAGGATAGCAATAAAATTTAGTATAATATATACATACATTATAATATTATAATACTAATATACCTTGGCTCTCAAAATGCACTTTTGTTAAATACTTAGGGTTCACCTTCCATACAAAACTAAATGGGAAAGAACGTATCAAAAGTACAATAGATAAAAAATATCCTATTATAAATTCTAATTCCACTCTCAATATTGAATGTCGATTACGAATTTATTCATCTATTATAAAACTTGTAACTTTATATTCATATTCCTGGTTGGTGTAATGTAGCTGTTACTCATTTAACAAAGTTACAAATAGTACAAAATACATTTTTAAGAAAAATTATCAGTCACATGGATTATAAGTAATTCTGCTCCTTCTTTCCTTTTTAATTTAGACCAGCCATGCAATGAACCTAAGAGAATTAAACCTCGTTTCCCTAAAGATATATTTAAACCAAAAGATTAAGTCGAATAAATAAAGATTAAAGTCGAAAAGCTTTAGTTTATTCTAAATAATTAATAAACTTCGTTTCTGTATTTGCTACCTCCAAACTTCAGATAATCAAAAATACAAAATAAATTAATATCGTTAGCCAAATAAGGCACTTAAGTTCTGAGTGACGGACCCTGCGAGATATAATTTTTGCATTGAAATCCACTTCATTGGAAGGCAGTAATGCAGAATAAGCAGGATATATAAATAAAAAATAAATAAAAAGTAGTGTTAATGCTATTATTGTTATAATTGCTTTAATTGGAGACATAATAAATTATTATTATTATTATTATTATTATTATTATTATTATTATTTTAAAGTAATTTAAAGTTATATTGTATTAATATTCTTAATAGTAATGTTTGTAAATTGTAGTTAGCCGCTACCAGGTTGCATAAACCTACCTGCAGTAGTAATAAATATCTATCTACACCACGTACATTGCTCCGGAAATACACAACGCGCACGGGAAAGGAAAACGGGTATTGGCAATTGTACGCATAAGGATATTTAAATGAAAATTCAAAGAGTGTACACACCCCGAATAACAGTTTACAAACTCCTGACACATACACATACATAGTACATACATAATGTATATACATAAAGAGAAGAAGAACGGGTCTGAACTACTATTTATTTAGCCAAGTAGTCCGTAATATGATCAATTAATGGTTGTCGTCATTAGCAGTCTAAAGATGTATGAAACGGCAACTTCTCGTTGGATTGAAACACTCTCTGGACGTACGATAATTAGTAACTTAGTAACTTTACTTGAAATATACAAAGAACATTATCAGCGTGTCATGTATATCTTTTAAACAAATTGTCAAGGTGAACGCGATACCGGAAGATAACCTCTTTGTATTGAGATGTGTTACTTCGCCTTTCACTTAGTAAGCATTCCATCTCTGGAACTTGAAAGCGAAAATATGAACACGTATGTAGAGATTTTGAAGTTTAATGTCTAAAGACAACCTGCTAAAACGAATTTTTTAGCATCAAGTTATCACTTCAGTTCGTACGTCGCTGAACATCAGTCTTTAAATATATCTACCAGTGCAACGAAGAGGGTTTAAACTTTCTTTGCAAAACTCCATAAGTGATTCTAACATCCATTGGAAGCTTTTCTCCTGAAGTTGTTTTAAATGATTAATAACGAGATGTTTATTTTGAACTAGTAATATACTTTAAATATTAGTTAGATGGCTGGTGAGGTAGATACCTTTTTATTATGATAAATAAATAAACTGTGTTTTCGGCCCGGAAGCTGCAAGCTCTGAGGATGATCGCTATGCAATCGAAACGATCATAAGCTGAATAAAAAGTATTGATACCAGGCAATATTTTTATTTATTTATCATACTTTAAATATTATGAAATTCATAGAAAGACTTAATGTATTTAATATTTAATTTCGTATTTTACACTTAAATGTAAACTGCACATTTTCAACATTCTGCTCCGTACCATTACACTTTTCTAGAACATTTCCCGACTATTGTGAGAAAAATATTAATTCATAAGATGTGATATTTGTTTTTGAAGAAATTTCTTCATTTTATGACATCTATTTCAGTACTGTTTATAGGCAAAATACATGTTTGGTTGACTTTGAGAAAAGGGGTAATGTATATTTATTTTCAAACACGATGTATTATAAATTATTCAAAAAGTCCATTCTTTCCTTATTATAATGATTCTGAATACTCAGCGTGTCAGTGATACTCAGGTACTCCGCGTTCTGAACGTTGTATGGAGGCCACTTCACGTTAATTTCAGGATCAAGTTTTGGAGTCGGATTTCTAAAAATATTTTTTTTAATTAAAACAAATAAACCAAAAATAAAAATAAAAGTTTTCTTTAATTTTTACACAGATTATATTTACTATCTATTTAAAAGATGTATATAAGATTAATTAATATTCGATAGAATTGATTTTCGTTTCATTAGTAGGATTTTAAGTTTGTAACATGGTTTCTTTGGAGTGAAACTTGCATTCAACCTGGATATGGCGAGCAACATTGACATTGACTTCGTTACAATAAAATAATACCTTGCTGATGGCATACACTTGCTCTTAAAATTAGTGCTACATTATGTAAATGTTCCTTACCCTGTTTTGGCGAAGTTGGTCCACAGCTTGACCATTCTCTTACGAACTAGAGCTTCAGGTGAATCGGATGCAACTTCAGGAACATTGAAAAAAGGAGTGGCAAAGAGATACCCAAGTTCATCTAGATGAGAAGCTCCTAAAGAGAAAAAAATTGTAACATGTACATGTAAATTAGAACCTCTGATGAGTGTGAATGAACACTGTACGACTCGCCACGTAAAATAAGGCAAATTCAATTCAATTCAACACTGTAGAATAGAAAATCAATTATTGCATTAAAAACCAAAGGTTTTTCATGACTATCAAGAATCAAACATTTAATTTATTAATATTATTCTAGCAAATATCTAATATCAATAATAAACCCACATACCAGAAGGTTTGTTGTAAAAAAAGCCAGAGAATTAAAATATGAGGTGAACAACTGAAATCTGAATATGCATTATTTATGTAAATGTTACAAGTTAGGGCCAGCAGTTACATAAATAGAAACGAGCAATTGGATTGCTAATTCATTGATTTTACAATCATTAATTTCTACGTAATATTTAATATCTTTATAGCTGGAAGTGGTTTTGAAAATCCAATATTCAAATAATTTTCAACATTTGTCTCATACATGATTGTGGGACATTTTGAAAGTTTGGTTTCTACAACGTCCATGAGATGTTTGTAATTGAAGAAAGATATTGAATTATAATTCAAAAGAAACGCCACTTCTGTTGAAGAAATCTCTCATGAAAGAGAATGATACGTATAAAAACTGTAAGTTAAACCTACCTGGTAATTCAGTAGCACTTACAAAATGTTTAAAAATATTAAGTTTTCCACTGAAGTTAAAGTTATAATAAAAGACAGGAAAATATCCTTCAGATAATATTTTTGTGGCTTCTTCTACACCTCTGGCTATCGCCATATCACTCGTACACTGAAATGAGAAATTTGATTTGTGTAGAGTTAATTTTTGACGTAATATTTCGGTAAAGAAATAAAAAAACCTTACATTTATTAAAGCTTCAACTAATCTTTCATTTCTAGTTTCCTGTCCAAAGTAGAACTCCTTTACAGCTTTTTCTTTCTGTTCAGAGTTTAAACCCATGCTTTTTGGGATGAACATGCCTATGTGCTCTATTAAGTTCTTTACATTTTCTGGATTTTTACGAACACCCATCACTAAAATATAAAATAGTAAAGTCAAACAATATGTATTCATTTGTAAAATATGGATACACTGAATAAACGCATTCATGTATTTGTGGAAACACTCAACAAAGTATTCTCAAAATAAATCTCGGTTTAAAAATCAGAACAGGAATACGTATATCTTTGAGCTTCTTTAGAATGGTTCTTGTTAGGAATGCAGTCATTGTAAAATGTAGAAACTTAATTTCAATTTGCAAATAAATCTCAACAATGAAAATACCTACAAAATATATTGTGGAACATTTACTGCAACCAAGCCACTTTTTGTCTAGAAAATAACATAAAATATATTTGAATCTATGTAGAAAATCTATGAATTAACAAGTTCAGGTTTAATTTGAGTTGTAATACATCGGTGATTGATTATATATGCCCATAAATTGTACCTACATTTTTATTTAATATTTAAATTAAAGTTATTCTTATCAAAAAATGTGAATTTTCATTATGACAGAAGATAAGGAAATAATTGTTTAAACGTCAACGTCAACATTTTAAAAATTCTAAGACAGAAATACTTAAAAACACACCAACAAATGGTTTAAATAAAAAAGAGTGAATAGTTAAACCTTATATTTTAACCGACCTGGAACTTATGAAGGGGTGCACAATGCATTTAGTTTATGATGAACGGACATCATGTGACATTACTTACTGTCCAGAAAAATGATGGTCTCCTTCGAATTCAAGCCAATCATTACGGGAACATGACAGAATTGTCGGTTTTCCATTAACTCCCGTGCATCTGTCGGTAGAAACACATCATCGTCGGGGATGGGCTTCTCAGGCATCGGGCGAAAACTTCCTTTTTCCCCGGGCTAATTTTTTTATGAGAACAAAACATCAATTAGTTATTTTGTAGGGGAGACCTCTCTGCCTTCGACCATTTTTTTATTGGCATGTTTTCTTAGTTTGATGCAGGAAATTTGGAAGTTTGTTCTCGGAACGGAAACTTAGAATATGAGTTTTACTATCGTAATTGTTGCATAATTTTCTATTTCATTTTTCAACTTATAACTTTGATTTTCATGAATATTGAAATTCCCCTATATTCGCCTGTATACGACACTCCTCTACTCACTGGTTTCACAAACACATCACTGTCATAGCAGCACGTCCCGTTCTAGCCGCAATGTCACGGTACGTCAAATCCACTTCCCGAAGATCATTCTGCCCCGTTCGAACTGACTCAGATGCTTATTTTGCACCCTTTGGTATCGATGAGGTAGTCCAGCACTTGCTTGCCAGTTTTCACGCCATTTAACGGCTCTACATCGACTGAAAATGGCGTAACACTGACCTGGCCTGTCATACAAAGAAGGGCGGAGCTAGGCCAACGTGCAGGCCATCTCCACTCAAATTTGATCACTTCTTATGGACACACTGTTCTATCTATCTGCCAATTTTCAAGTGATTGCGTCCATTTCTTCTGGGTGTTGCAGTTTTTACAAACAGCAGTGTATTAAGGTTTCAACGACGCTGCCTGGGTGTTTCGAGTTGATTTTTACATCAATATTTAGATAAGTTTATTTTCAACAAATTCTTCGCATATCTTAAATATAAAGTGAAACTTGTCGCGTCTACGTGAAATTGTCTATCGTTTGGGACCTCGTTTATAAAGATTGGTTGCGAGTGAGGGCCGCAAAACTCATATATATTACTGAAATAATATAGGAGCGGATTTTAGGGCATTTTGTTACTATGAACTGTGAAGGAAAATGAAGGTCGTGGTTCAGGTAAAACAAAAAAATATTTGGGTCACTTAAAATGAAGAGAGCTTTTGATTGAATGCAAATTTTTACTTTTGATTGTAAAATGAATTTTTCTGAATATTTGTTTGCTAACTTGGATACAAATATTTTCGAATCACTGGGATTTTAAACAAATGAACTGATTGCTTTAAATATAATTGCAACATTTTAGGACAAATTTCCATGAAAGTTTGAAAAAATTGTAATACGAAAATTATTTGTAACAAGATGTTTGAATTGACAGTAAAAAAATTACAGACAAAACCTTATGTCAAGCCGCTTCCGTGTAAGAAAAAAAAGTAATAGCTCTGCAATAAAATTGGAAACTATATGAAAATGTTTTGGTATCTTAATAATGCCTGAAGTCGTATCTAGAAAACTAAAATTTTCCTCCAAAGATGGAGGAATGTAAGCCTTCGACGGTGACGTCACAAAGATGACCACTAATACCAATGGTTGAAATCTACGTGGCATTCGTAATATCGATACGTGCCGAGCCAGCAAAAATTTAATAGAATGTCCGAAAATATCTCATCCTATAGATTACGGTGTGAGGAATGTTTCTTTAAAGCCTCTAGCCTCAAAGGTTTAGTTTTTAAGGCCCTAGAACGCGTCGTTTATGAGTTATTTAACGATATATTTGAGTGCTGCGGGTGTAATTTGACATGGATATTTATATGCGCTTTTTTTAAACAAGTCCTTCATGTTTTTAAAGACAAAGTTCAATTCGTCATGTCTCTCTGAAATTCTCTTTCTTTAAATACCTCATTTTTAAATATCGGTTGCGTGTGAGGGCCGCAAAAGGTATGTATACTACTGAAATAATACGGGAGACGATTGAGCGCAGTGCTACATGATTCGAAAATACTCAAAATACACAACTTAATAGCTTTTTGTCTACTTATGAGTTATTTTTTCTTTTTAAACATGACTCTAGATGTCTTCTACAAACAATGTCCAAAGTAAGTGCTTATGGCGTGTTTGCTTGTTTCCGTAAATTTGTATATAGTGTTTTAAGCTAACTTTTGAGTACTAATTCTAGCTCAATTATTCGAAATTAGGTAGGTGTTTTTTGGACAAAATATGCTTAAAATTTACTTAAGAGCGTATTTTCTTAGTTTCAGTGTTTCATTCTCGAACACATGTATAAATGTACGTACATACAGTGTATATGTATTTATAGAATGTGAGTTTGTGTCTTACATAATAAAAGGCAAATTTGATCCTCGATCACAATTTAATTCTCATCCAAATTTAACTATACAAGATGATCACGGCAGTTTCATTTAATGTAATACTTCCGCGAATTATTGAAACTCTCATACATTAAATGTGCTGTGGAGAGAGTGCCAGTTTAAAAAAAGATTATCTTTTATTCGGAGTTTTCACCAATTTATGAAAATGACCCACTCCTTTTTCGCTACTCATGGAAACAACCAAATCAGTTTCCTTTCAATATTCAACGCAGATTTAAATAAAAATGTGCATTTTACAAGCTTTGTTCTTCACGTTGTATTAGGAATCTAATAATTCAATGCATTTACTCTTTAATAAGACCCTTATTTTAAGAAAATTTTGCTATGTAGTAGCAAATCCGAATTCATCAGAATGTTACGTAACAAGTAAATAGGTTCTACATAATCAAGTGAAAAGGAAAGGCTCTGGAAGTAGTTACCGATGCACTGTATTCGTTGTACTTCTCAACCAGATCGCGGGCGGAGACAGAGCTCAAAAATGAAACTAGTCCTTGGACGTCAGCTGCGTCACATCCCAGTTTCTGGGCGACTATGAATGCCACTTCTTGAGGTTCAGCCGCTGCTTTCCATTCATTTAATGCGCATCCACTCTGAAGAATTGCTTTGTGGAAGAGACCTGCAACATCATTACCTCAACTGATATGCATCAAAGACAGTTCTATGTTATAGGGAACGTTTAGGGCAGTATAATGCTTAAAATAATTAATATTAATATTTATATGAACATGAGCACCAATTCCTCACATTTCTCGTCATTCAACACACACATTTACTTACACCTATACATCAATACGTCGCGAAATTCAATGCACACTCATTCTTTTCCTATTATTCACACTCGCAGTCAGTGCCAGACATTCATTTAAAATTCTTAGTGAAAATGTATATATACTTTACCTTTTGACACGGGTGAAAGCATATGAAAATGCACAGAGGCTCCACCCGCACTTTCTCCAAATATGGTTACGTTGTTGGGATCTCCTCCAAAAACGGATATATTCTTTTTGACCCATCGCAATGCAGCCACTTGGTCTTTCAGTCCCACATTGTACGGCGTGGAGCCATCATCGACATTCAAGAAACCTTTCAAAAAACAGGGTAACATAAGCATAAGTGCCAGTGAACATAAAGTGCTAAGTTGATGGAAGGTCTGTTTCGATTGTAAAATATTTGTGAAAGAAAATAATTCTTATTCCGATCAAAATGAGTCTGATCTTTAAATGAGATTTAATAAAACAAATCAAAATAATATTCTTATATTAGTCAAAATCGTTTACAACGACACCTGCTAATCTTTTACGAGCAGAACTCTAATAATAGGCACAGAAATAATTAGTAATAATTGGTTGAAATAAATTACCAAAAAAATATTAATATTGCTTACAACAAACACTTCGACGGAAGCTACTACATTTCTAGGAACAGCTATCAACAAATATCGGTTATAGCAAAGTGTACTCATCTCCCTTCCTACGAAATGAAAAAAAATGGGGGGGAATTATCTCGATAACTTCGAAAAAACGGTGGACTTGGGTACACGGAAATTTATAAAGTTGATCTCCGCGCGGTCCAACTTCACATCAGTAATCCTTCACGTCTCCATCACAACGGTTGAATATCTAGTGATATGGCTTTCCCTTCCTTTCAAATTCATTTGACATTTTCAGAGGGATTTTCAGGCATGTTCTAGTATTTTAGTGAACGTCAACATGTCGCAGGAAGTGTATATTGTTGAACAACAGTTGGGCTTAATTTTTCGAGTCGATGCAATGAGTGATCTCGATAGATAGATTGGTTAATTGATTGATGTTTCTAGGCACGTCATCTGCTATATAGACATTAGTCCTTATACTATATCTAGTCTCTATATTAGTCCATTAGTCCTTATATCCAGTCATTAGTCCCGTTACGCCGTAAACCAATTTTTTTGGTATCAATTACAACAAAACCTGCATTTAAAGTCGATATTATATTAGAGAAAATAATTTCTAGGAACAAGAATTATACACTCTTTCAGTATCAGGGATACACAAAACTACTTTTTTTCTGTCAAAAAGTCGCCACTTTTGCAGCATTACAATACTTTCTCTTTACATACTCTTTGAAAATATTATAGCTTTTTCGTAAACTAATTTGCAATTGCGCGAAAAGATTAATGATTTCTATAACCTGGAATGAAATGGTTTACAGATTTAATATTCAGAAATATATTTCATTCTATAACAAATCGGTAGCTTCATTGTTAAAAGTGCAAAGAGAGTTTTTGTTTTTAAAAAAAGCACTCACACAATTTTCATAATTTCACAGATTGTACGGAATGTTTACCGGGAAAAATTAGATTTACGGAATATTTACCGGGATAGCTTTATAGCTAGTAGCTTTCCATTTTAACACCAGATAACGAATGCCACACGCGAATGCAAGAGCAGAACTCTAACAAATGGGCCACGGACTGAGCACAATCTTCCCTTCCCCTTCGTTCTCCTATCCTCACCCCTTACTTATTCTCACACTTACATACACCACACTACCACACATGTCGGGAGATCTGCCGGGAGCTTAGAGCTTGTCTCGGCTGGGGTGGTTCCCTGATAGAGGGACATATCTAGTTTGGGGGTAAATTCGGCACGCCGGCTGTTTGATCGGCAATGTTCCGATGTTTTTCCGATGAATACCAACGGCGAAGATCACGGCCATCTCCAGTGATAAAAACATGCACTGCGGGTCTAATGAATATACACGTTGACGTGTCCGGAAACGCAAAATAATCAGCCAATCGAAGTTGAAAAAAATAACATGTCATTCATTAAAATTCTAAGTTTGAACGACAGATTTAATTAATGAAAAAATATATTTCCAAAAATATAGTCGGTAGAAGAGGTCAAAAACTTTTTATTTTTTTGCGCACTTTTCGTAAAATTAGTAGATTTCAATGAAATGCATTTTTATAATCGTACATACTAGTTCGAGCAAAAAAGGAAATATTGGTCCTTACTTTTGAGAAAGTTTCAAAAATGTCGTTGGGGGTTCAAGTAAAGTACTCCTCAAAATCGAAGAATCCATTTCAATTTGAGAGGCCGTAACATCAGAGATTATTACATTTGGTAAAAATTCTGTGTGCGGTTTAGACACTAGGTTTTTGAAAAACGGTCAGGTAGAATATGGGCAATTTTTTGGTTTCAAAGACTCACAAAACTTAGATGCTTATTTTATAATGCGTTCGAGACAGTAATTTATGGGTAACAAAACTTTACTTTTTTGGTAACAGGGATCCAAGAAACGAATTTATCTTCTTTTCGCAGCAGCATTACTGTCTCTCTACTACGTTGTACACGAGAGAGAGAAAATATTCTAATTTTGTATTATATTGAATACGGTATTAATATTACAATTTTAATCAAAATATTAATAATGTCTAAAAATTGTATAGCTTACCAAATATTCCGAGTCTGTAGTTGAATGTCACAATGACGACATTTTCATTCACAAGATACTCAGGGCCATAGGTATTTGAATCCCCACTTCCCATTTCAAAACCACCCCCATGGATCCACACCATAACAGGATAATTCAGAATTTGTCCTGTTGAGGGTAGCTGCAAACAAAAAGTAAAATGGCTTATAACCTTGGAGCGATTCACTGACACGTAGCAGCAGGAACACGAGTACTATGCTGTGAACCAGTTTGCTCTCCTAGTGAATCATTTCCTTCTAATAGTAATAGGTTATACTAAGTTTTATTCATAATTTCTGGTATCCTACCACGATACAGTCTCTGGGTTCTTGCTACTAATAGCATTCCCAGGTCTCGTACCTGCCTGAGTGAATGAATATTGGTTCGAAGCACCGCTCCAGCCGAGAGAATCTCTAAGCTCTGGTTTTGTCTCTCGTCATGTGATGTATGTGTATGAATAGAGAGGAGACAAAGATGAGAAAAGAAAGATCACTCGTTGGGCGTGGTTCGCTTTTTAGATGTTTCTCCGACATACATTCATGTGTAGATGTTTATGACCCAAAATTATGAAAATATGACCATACATATGACTCAAAATGTTTTGGGTTCCATTTTCGAAACCTTCAAAATATTGCTGCTGATTAAATAACCCTTATATTGACATATATTTTTAAAATCTACTACATTCACAATTCACCCCTTCTCCTTTGGCGCCCCGTGAAGACAATTCTAACTGCTAAAGTTATTTCTAGAAGTGGTTGATCTTGTCACAAAAGCTGAAAAACTAATCTAACACTTCCTTCCCATTAGGCGCTTACTACACTTTCTTTTTCTCCTACTACGAAGGATTAAGAAAATCCAAAATATGACTGTATATGACTCGTGAAAATTGCGTACAGTGAGTGTCAGACATTTTGGAACACCTTAAAAATCTGAGATATAGAAAAAGTAATATAAATGACAAATTTTTAGTGCAATTAAATATAATACAAATAGTGAAGTTGGTACAATAAAAAATACCTAAAACGAAGTACGGGAAAGAGAAACCAGATAGGTAAGCAAATGTTTCATAGAAAAAGGAAGCCAAAAGTATTGGAACAGGCAAAACTCAAACACTGTAATGGCTTTTCTGGAAGTCAGCGCGGCCCCAGCCGTCTGTGGATTGACCTTCACCTAAAATTTATAACTAAAATTTAAAGAGCTAAACTTTATTCATTTCATTATTATTCAAGCAACGTGATTTGCGTTAGATGTTGGAAGATAAATTTAGACACTCCTACTTTTGCCTTAAAATCCTTCACTTTATTATCAAAGGCAAAAAATGAACATTTTGGAGAACATGAAAATTCTAAAACGTTTCAAAATTATTATTTTTATATCTTGAATGAACATTAATTAAAAGTAGTCCCATTTTAAATATTTTTTGACTAGCCTCTAATCATTATTTTGACGTAACTTTTTCTGCAAAATTTTTCACCTAGTCAACAAGTTTTAAATATGTACTTTTTGTAAATTTTTTGAATTAACAATCGTTCTACATTTTTTAAATTCCTAATTTTCTTTTCTATATTAGCATTCCTGAATGAAAATCAGTCAATTTTAAATCTGTTTTTGACTACCAAATCTACTCTTTCAGACTTTCAGACCCAAATCTACTCTTTCACCCCCTCTCACACCGTTCCCAGCAGGTTTTTCTGTTTTATGTATTTATCCGACTATGTTATGAACGTTGTGGGTGATCCACGTTGCTTGAGCAGCAAGTATTTTTAACTTATTTATTATTTATTTAATTTTATTTGTTAATTTTTTCACATAATTTTACTGTATTTCATTTTGCTTCCTTCATTGTTTATTTTTCAATTTTTCTTGTCACTGCTCGAGACCCAATAAAGATGGGGAAAGTGTTTTCCTGAAATATGACTCTGGGAATGGGATAATAAAATTATTATAACTTTAACTGAGGACTATTATTTCCTTCCTTACATTACTCTATATGTAAAACGTTACAAGTAGAAAAAAGAGGTAAATGGAAAAGGGTTCCCCGAAATTTCGTTGCTCCTTGTTTTTGGTTTCGCACGTCAGTGGATATGCACTTACCTTAGGCGAATAGACGTTAATGTACAGGCAATCTTCATTTCCTCGATAAGGAAGGTTCATGATCAGTTCAATTTGAGGGCAGCAAGGTCCCTCTTTGAGGGCATTGCGTATGCCACTCCATGGTTCCACAGGCTGCGCTACCTGCTCAAAAAATGTACGTACACAGTGAGTTGTAGAAGTAGCTTACTGGGACTCGCAGGCTCTCATTTGCAATTCTCTGGCTGTATTGTGATTTTACGGATGACTGTGAGAAGTTACACGAATCTCGCGGTCAGAGACGTTGTAGAGACCACAGATATTGCCAGTGACCCATCGCAGCCAGTGAGAACGTGTAGAAAAAATGCTAGGGACATTTGGAGGACATGCGAGGAACTTTCTCAAAATATGGAATGGAATTTTGAACTTGTATGATTCGCGTAATATATATACTTACTAGGTTTCTCGCCCAAGAAATACCTCCTTTCTCTCCTAGTTGGTGAAAGGAGCGTAGCGAAATTTGCTAGGTCAGACGGAAGAGCGGGCCTGATGGCCCGAGTCTCGCCACGTAAAATAAGGCAAATTCAATTCAATTCAATTCAATACTATGTTTTTTATTAATTTACAAATAACTAATCGTTATTGCAACTAATATGTTGTACATTGTACATTATTAAAATTTACGGACACGCACCTTCAGAAGAGAAAGTGTGAATATTCTGCAATTAATTTTGATTTAATGTAAAATCTTGTACCAGACGATTTTTGGAATGTAATTCAGTAGATTTATTGGATGATGAAGATGATTTGATTTAAGTAAGATCTTGCGGTGCAAGATTTTATATTAAATCAATTACGTGAAAATTAATATATTGAAAAATTGTACATAAAATGATTTGAAGATGTAATAAGTACAACAGATAAAATTTAGTTTATTAGATATGGACCGAGTACAAATATTAAGTAAATGATTGGTAAACTGTTAACCTATAAATTATGTGGAACAAAAAGAAGTACAAATGTCGTAAATGATTTGATTTGAATGACCAGCGATACTGGATGCGTCAACTGCTAAGGTCATAAGCTCCGTAAGTGTAGTGTACATTTTTATCGCTGGAGGTGGCGGTCCCGCGCGTCAATATTGAGAAAATATTGTTCATGTTTGACAAGACATCTGTGTGCGAAAAGCGAATATATGCATGTTATTTTCTCCTACAAAACCGTGCAAGACCTCATATAATATTCGTATTGCTTATTTGCATTTAGAATAAAATTTACGATTAATAACAAGAAAAATTGAGATACTAAACATTAAAGCGAGTATTGCATAAAAAGTCAATAAATTGGTAAAAATACACTATATGTAACAAATAAGTATACATTTGTGATTTTAATGCCTATTATTGTACTTAAGTTTTACATGTACTTTTATTTGATTTTGATTATTGATGTTGTTGTTTATTGCTTGAACTTCTGAGTTTATTGAACTGGATCTGCAGAAAGACGTCTTCAATATCTTCGTTAATTGTATAATTTTTTCGTTATGCAATAAAATCTTTAACTTTTCTTTAATGAATGTTGGAATAATTCCTTCAAAATTACCACCATACCACCTCTCCGGACGTCAGCGTCTCGTTTGTTTTCGCATTGTCTCAAGCGTTTTGTTAGCAGCTCCTAGAGCCACTTGCTATTACAAAACGCTAGGCCCGGAGTTTTTCGTTAATGAGACAGAACCAGCTTTACACAGTGCGCGATAAAATGGAAGCGTTTAGCTCTTTTTATATAATCTAATTATAGGTTTATTGCTTACAAATTCAGTTATGGTTAATTGATTAAATAGTCATACGAGTGTCATTTAGCTGAATTTTTTGCATCTATCTTTCCTTCTCAAACCTGTTCTTCTTGGCCTTCCTCTTTAATTTAACATAACAGAGGTTTGAGAGTAAGTTGAACTTTATACGGTTTGTGTATTACTCTGTTTAGCAATCAGTGACTCAGTATTTATCGTCAGTTTGCTTTAGATTTGGCATTATTAAAAAAATACTCGTATGTATATAGTTTAAATTTCAGCAGTGAAAAAACGAGAACATTTATTTAATTATAAACACTGATTTGGATGAAATTATAATATCCTATTTTCAACAAGCGAGTATCATTATAGTTGTTTGATTAAAGATCCCATATGTTCTGAACCTTCGCTTTCTATACATGCAGCGTTTTATTTACATTACTTTATGTACGACAACTATAACAACAATTTGATTTGTTTCATGGAAAAATGCAATGCATTGCATTATGCAAGATCTGTATTACGTAACGCTGTTATTTCCGCGAGTGAAACTCACCTTGAAGCGTAGGGGACCCACAGGAGGCTTGGCGTACGGAACGCCCTGGAAGCTGAAGTAGCTGTTGCCGGCTTTCGCCGTGACCTTGCGGCCACGCAGCGCGCCGTACGCAGTAAGAACAATTGCGAACTCTTCGGCCATCTTCACCTTCCGCCAGTGGACTGACAACTTTCGCGCTGGCCGTGCTCTCGTGGACTTGGCTGCGGGGCCGGTAGAGGTCGTTAGTGCTTGTTATTTCGGCCATTTCGAGATAATATCTTTCATGTTGAGATTAGTGAAGTTGAAAGTCGTGATGGATGTTTGTGAGAGTATGAACATGGTCGAAATAACAGCCCTGAACAACGGCGTCGGTTCGTTCTAACGGGAAAGGGAGGAGACACCGTCTCTCCCTTAAAGGGTTGAGAAATAAAGAAAGAAAAAAAGTTTCAAAATTTCATATTTGTAATAATTTTTTTAATTATTCATATTTGTTCTTCCGTAAGGTATTTTAAATCTTTTCATGTAATACAAGTTTTTAACAATATATATTTGACAAATTAATATTAATAACTAGAAGAACTACAATAATTGACAAGGTAATTACAGGAAGGAACCTTTAAGTGTTGAATTTTTGGATAATACAATGCAGGAGAACATGTAGGACGAACAGGGGAAAGCTAGGACTGTTCGAAAGAAATAGATAGTTTTAGCAAATTGAGATACCAAATTATGAAAGTTGCAATAGGTGTTTGGAGAAACAAGTTTTTTTCTGGGATTTGGTTGAGGTTTTTTACTTTAAAAAAGTCTGTTATTGCTGATCACGCTTAAAGTGAATCGTAGAAACTGATGGAAAGTTTTTAAAACAGATTTTCAAAGGGTCTATTAATATTTATTTTTGAATTTGCTTGTTTGAGCTTTCAGAAGCCAAAGTAAGAATTTAATGTATTCAGAATTACTTCTAATTTTTGTGACTGTTCTTGATTATGTGACTCATTTTTATATGTTTTTAATTCAGAATCTATTTTCCTGAATGTAGAATGTGGGTAGATATAAATTTAGTTAATAGCTCTTGTATGTAGCACGTATCATGTATGTAGAGTTAAGGAAGTTTAAATGCTAATAACCCCCTCCCCTAACTAATACTGCAATCTAAGATAAAGAATAAACCAAAATATCTGAAGGAAGAATGATATACTATTGAAATATTATGAGAAATACTTCTTCAATAATTTCTGAATTTATATTGCTTAGAGAATTACGTTTTAACATTTTTAAAAAGTTTTGTTCTATATTTTTGAGGTGGTCATTTTTCATGTTAGATGCGTGTCAATGAATATGTCTTTGTATTTTATTCGAATTGTAGAAGAAAGCCATTGAATAGCTTTAACATTCAGTATTAAAGAGTAAATTAGGTGTGTGAGTTTTAATGAAAATATTTTAATTTGGCATTTGGAGGAATTTCTTTTCATATTCCACTTTTGAACTCAAGGGAAATGTAAGCAATCGTCTTGGAGATTACCACGCCCAGATAAGTTTTTATGAGAAGTGTAAAGTGTAGTATCGTCTGCTAAGAAGACAATTTCTGAATTGATAATTTAAAGGATTCGAAAATATTAAATAGAAAAGGGAAAAGAGGAGAGCTTTGAGGGACTCCAGAAGATAAATTAGAATTGATTTTAACTTAAAACTTCTGTTAAATAAACAATTTTGAATAATCTTTTGGATATATATAGGAAAGCCAAATTGCCTAATTTTGTAAATTCATTTTAATACTAAAAACTATTGAACTAATTTTAACATAATATTTTAAATGTTGACCGAGTGTGTACATTTAATCAGACTAGTTCTAGAAGTGTCTAAAGTTATAAATAAAACATTATTTAGATTTAAACATTGTTTATTTTCAAACTACTAATGCATTAATCAAAACTGTAAGTAATATATAAGTAATTATAAATTAAATAATTATCAAAAAAATTCAGTTCAATAGTGTTTTTTTTAAAATTTATTAAAAATTAAACTCTAAAAATATTATAAGACTTTTAAAAATCTTTAAAGAATGAGGTATAACTGATGTTTTTTAAATTAGCAACTTTTAATAAAGAGCAAGAGCGGCTCCAAACTCTTGAGCCTTTGCAAGGTTCAAAAATTTAAAAGTTTTAATGAAATGGACATCATGCAATTTATAAGCACATTTGTCTTTTTTAAGCAGGACAAGTGAAGAAATCTAGTGATGCTACCAAATAGTACAGACTTCCTCGCATTAGTTAGTTTTCTAATCTCTTTATACTAGACTATCTTTTCGATATTGCTCCACTCGTTTCCCATCTACTATCCTTAGACGCCTTAAAGGAATTTTTTCGCAAAGATGCATTTCTGCCATATTCATATTCTGTGGCGATGCCACCCCCCGGAGCTGCGAATGCCTCTGGAGTGGGAGGATGCCTCTGGAGTGGAGCCGTTAACGGGCGCACCGGCATGGCCTCGGGGCGCCAGTGGCGGCGACCGCTTTGTTTGTATCGCTCGTGCGCAATCGCGACCGACGCCCAATGACAGCCTCGCTTTCGACTGAGAGCCGTTCCGCTCGCGGCTCTGGTTCATCTCCCCGACTACCCGAAGACGCACAGAACATGACAGATGAATTTGAATTTTTTATGCCTTATTTTACGTGGTGAGACTCGGGCCATCAAGCCCGCTCTTCCGCCTGACCACGCAAATTTCGCTACGCTCCTTTCACCAACTAGCGAGGAAAGGAGGTATTTCTTGGGCGAGAAACAGGCGATTTGAATTTAGCTCAGAGGCGTCATTTAGGCTTGAGGATCTTTTACATGCAAGTAAATCTACTAATATGGGACAGCCGGCTTTACTTCCCCTCCGAAGGAAGGCGTACGAAGGATTTTTTCGCCCTTAAAAATCCACGGCTTCGATCGGGTTTCAACCCACTAACTTGGGTACAACAGTCCGGTACGCTAACCGTTACACCATCGCCGCCGCAAATGACGCACAGATGCTCAGAGTACTCTTATGGCAATGCCCAGGCTAGTCAACCATACTGATAATAATTCCTCAAAAGCCCACGTATCCCGCTTGTTTACTTGACCGAGGGTCCGCCCCACTCGAGGGAGCCCACGTGACCCCGGCTCCCTTACTTATCTCCTCTGTGAGTGATGCAGGTTCTCGGCTGCTCGGAAATTTTGGGAAGGTGGCAGTGGCTGGAAGACACGCCATGTGGTATGGCTAAAGGAATGAAGAGCGGTATGATTAAAGGAATGGGAAGTGATCGAACCGTGAGTGTCGTACTGACGCACACTGGCAGTTAAATAGGGATGTAACTACGAGTATTTCTTTGAATGACAGATTTATTGTAGAAAATGAAGGTTTGCAACTTTTTCAACACTTGCTGAAGTGTTTTTACCCTTTAGACTCTCATTCTTCGCATTTCAGGTTTAAAACTCATTTTTCAATATTTTCTGGATGAAAAACAATAATGTTGACGAGGAGAATTGATAACATGCGTTGTGAAACATTTCATTCCAAAACAAGTATTTACTTTTTCTCTTTATTTTTGAAATACTCGATGAACTACAGAATGTAATAGAAAAAACACTAACTTTGTAATGATCAACTGTGGAATGTTTTCTGTTCGTTATGTTAATTACCTTACATTCATACTAAATTAACAGTTATAATTACCAATTTAAAAATTGTAATATTCCTTAATCACATAGGAATGTCATTGTCCTAGAATAAGTAGGATAATCATCCTTAGAGGGCCATTTTTTTCTTTTTACTTTAAGACAATACCGTTTAGTATAGGAATTCATTGTGACAAAAGGAAATTAACCACATTTATAGGTCATATTTTTTACAGTTTTCGTCGATTTGATAAGTCATTTTTTACCTTTTACGTAATTTTTAATGCATATTTTCGCTGATTGCATAGACTTTAATATTATTTGAATGGTACTCACCTCAAACAATATTTGCGAGGTGCATCAAATGTTCACCATAGAAATCCTCAGTAGCCTATTCTATTTCTTCGCTCATATACACTAATGTCAGCCGTAGTAAGTACTATGCAACCTAAGGTTTCTGTGACGTCTATTGGCGCCATTGTCAGTTTGGCCGATTTCGCGATAAATATAGGCAAAGATTTTCTTTTAAAGACCAGCCCAAACCAAATGTTTGTAAACTGAGTTCACTTGAAACAAAACGACGAAGCCTCGATTACATCAGTAGCATATCCAAAAGCTTGAGTTATTCATCTGAAATAGTTTCGATCAATATTTTTACGTTATTTTTCTCTTTTCAGGTCATTTTTAAAGCATTGAAGAGCGTTTTATTGATCATTTTGGCAATGTTTTACGTCATCAAAATCCACCCCCTAATCATAAATAACAATTATTTATATATTTTTCCAAAACTCAATTCGATCTTTGTATAGATTCCGAGCGATGCTGATATTGTCGTTTATATTAAGATATTCGCCTCGCTCAGTAGAAAATTGTGGCCATGTGGAGCCAATTTCCTGGTCGAGAGTAGGTGTAGGATTTCTGGAAATAAAAAAAAAGTTTTCTTTCTTAGTTAGTACACCCCCTTTCTGAGTATCTTACTACATTCTTAAAGAAAAACGTTCCATCAATTAACTCATAATTTCTGTCAGGCAGGTATTTTAGGCAGGTATTTTAAATGTACGTTCGCGAAGACGTGATACTAAATTGAATGTTACTAAATTGGCTTTATTCGCGGTTTCAGAGATCGTATCCGAGTTATCGATCTACTGATGAAAGTATTTTTACCCTGTTTTGGCGAAGTTGGTCCATAACTTGATCATTCTTCTTCTCGTTAGTCCTTCACGAGAATCGTGTGCCACATCATCGGGCAGATTAAAGAAAGCAGTTCCAAACAGATACCCCAGTTCATCCATATGAGCTGCACCTGAAGAAGAAGAAGAGAAATGTTACTTAAGAAATTCGTGGCTGACCATTAAATCTGGCGTATTCTCGTAAAAATTAAGCCGAAATAATCGATGATCAGTCTGTGATTGGACCTAATATTGTAACAGTGTCTATTTTTAGTGTTAATTCTCTTTTAACACTAATTGACAAGAGAATTAATGTCAAATATCTAGTTATTTCAAATGTTATTAAATTTACTTTTCCATTATTCATTACAAATATGGGA